TTCGGCACTCCTGATGGTCCAGCACCATCTGGAACCCGGAAGTGCTCCGGGCAGCCGGACAATTGGAGCTGCTCTGCCCCCAGCTTCCCGGAGTCAGCCGCTGGTCAGTTTCAGCAGCGGCTGACTTGGGAAGGTCTGGGACAGAGCAGCTGGGGTGCTGCTGGGTTGGTCCCGCAGCGCCAAGGGGCGCATCCCCAAACTCCAACCCAGACCACTCATAGCCCCCCCTTCCAGTAGTCCGGCATATTTGAGAATCTGGCACCCCCTGGGTCCTAAAGGTGCTGGATTATTGGAAGTTTATTGTAATCTTACTACTTAGGCTATGTCTACACTACACTTCACTCACTAAACCTTTTGGCGGTCAGAGATGTGAAAAAACCCTCTGACTGAAAAGTTTTAACAATAAAAAGCACCAGTGTGGACAGCAATTTGTCAGCCGGAGATGTTCTCTCACTGACAAAACTACAGCCCCTCATTAGAGTGGTTTAATTGTATTGGTAGCAGAGCTCTCCTAGACTACAGGAGAAGCCACACTTGTGTGCTTCACAGCAGCAGGCCTTTAGCAACACAGGTGTGCTGCTGTAACCTCCACAGTGTAGACATAGCCTTAGTTGTTAGTGAGTTAGTTCACATAGTTAGTAGATAGTTATTGCATATTTTAGCTAAAAATGTAGATATGTTCTTGGCTAAGTTTTGGTTTAAACTAGACATATGTATACATCCCTTCATAAAGGGGTACTAGCAACATGTAAGAAACTAAATCCCCAGAATTAAAAAACTTTTCCCAACATAAAGCCTCATTGCTCTTTAACAAATATTCTTAGTGGCTTTTCTGCCTTTGAGGGGAACAAGTTCCAAAGTTGCCATATGTTGCTCCTTTTCTAAGCAAATGTAGAGAACTAGAGAATCCCACCTGAAGTTGTTTCTTCTCAGAAACCTAACACAAGCCTTCTTAAACACCACGAGTAAGGACAGTTAGTTAGACTACAGTCCTCCAATCAAGTCCTTCTGCATTAGTGCCCTGGTGAGCAGATATTTCACATTGGGATCCTGAACCACACTTAATAAGAGGTCAAAACATTGGCCTCCATATTGGCTTCAATATCTTCTGACAGTTGTAGAATGCAACACTGCTCTATTGATGAGCCATAGCTCATGTAAACTTCTCTGGTGCCTAGCAAATCAAGACATAAGAGTCTTCAAACTCTGATGCATCTCAAGCTCATCCTTCTAGGAGTCAAAAACCTGAACAGGCCTTTCTGAATATCCTAGTACTTATTGCTAAAATAACATAATTACTATCAACTAAATTTTCAGACCACATTTCTTACAGTACCAGACTTTGATCATTGACCTCAGTATGGGATGTCTGAGTATCCAGAACCTTGCTATCCTTAACCTCTGTACCACTTATCTCATAACAGTGTTCCTCAGTACCTACTGCTTGGGTATCTGATGTCTTGGTGTTCAGAGTATTCATGGAACCAAGTGGTTTAACTGTGGGCTAAGTATTGGAGTTACTGCTAGAGAAGCTGAAGGTGGTGATATTATCTAAGGGTATGTCTACACTACAGCGTTATTTCGAAATAACTTATTTCAAAATAACAAGTCTACACACAAAATGCATTTCAAAATAGCATTTTGCTATTTTGAAATAGCGCGTCCACACTGAGTGGATGCTGAATCACATTTAATAGTTAATTCGAAATAGCTTATTTTGAAATAACACATCTACACACAAAATGCATTTTGAAATAGCGCTTTGCTATTTCGAAATAGCGCGTTCACACTGAGTGGACGCTGAATCGCATTTAAGGCCAGCCGGAACCAGGTCCAGCAGGGCATCAGGTCAGGAGTTACTTTGTGTGGCTGCTGCCTGAGGCTATCTGAGGCCTGTGCTTAAAGGGACCCCCCCGGCCAGTCAGTTCTCAGTTTTCCCTGCTTGCTTGCCTACCTTGATGAGGGACAGAAAAGCATTTTGTCTCTGTGTGCTCTGGTTGCCCTCATTCGGGACACCACAGAACACTGCAATATGGAGCCAGAGCTGCCTCTGGGCACTCTGGTGCTTCTCGTGCACGCGTTTTGGCAAGCTTGGCTGCACTTTCTGCAGGCTGCCATCCGGGAGGTCCATCGGGGGGCTGTCAGTATTCAGGAGGCCCTGCAGGAGAGCTTCCACCCTGAGGAGCACTAAGAGCCACCCTGGTCTGCCCCACTGGGGGCTTGTGCCTCATTCCTCCCTCACGTCCTTCCACTTACCCCTCCCTAACCCCCCTTCCTGATGTCAAATAAAATACATGTATTTTCATGAACACAAACTCTTTTTATTTAACAAAACTGGGTGGGGGGGATGAAACTCTGGTGAGACTGGGGAAAGGAGGCGGGAGAGAGAAAGAGAGAGGGTGGGAGAGGGAAGGGGGAAACCTGGGAGGAGGGAGCTGGAAGGGGAAAGTAAGGGGAAGAAGAGGGTGGGGAAGCACAGGGCTCAGGGGTTGAGGGCGTCTCGTCGGACCAAGTTGATTTTCATGCAGACCTGCTCCTGGGTTCGCATATGGTCTTTGGTGGCCAGGCTGGCAGCTACCCTGCCATAGACGGCCACGTTCCTCCGTCTAGTGCGGAGATCATGGACGTTGGGAGCATTCCCCCAAAACCTGAATAAAGTCCATGATCTCCACCCTGGATCAGGAAGGCACCCACCTTCTCTGGGCCCTGGCAGGCTGCTGGGAGCAATGGAGGACTGGCTGCCAGTGGCTTGCTGGCTCTTGTTTTGGGGCTACTGGGTCACGGCAGTGACTTCTTGCTCTGGGCTGGCAGGCTTGGAGCTGGCACAGGCACTGGGGCCAGAGTCAACCCCTTTAAGGGCTCCAGAGAGGAGCGGGGAGAGAGGAGTGTTCTTGGTTGAGGCTGGAGTGGCCGCCAGGGCACCCTGGGAAGGCTGTAGGCCTCCTATTTTGAAAAGTGTCTACACAGCACTTATTTCGAAACAGCAATTTCGAATTTGGCGTTATTCCTCATGAAAGGAGGTTTCCTAAATTCGAAATAAGTGTTCCGCTATTTCAAAATAATTTCAAAATAGCAGTTTGGCTGTGTAGACGCTAGTAAAGTTATTTTGAAATAACGTCTGTTATTGAAAGTAGGAATAAGGGATCTTCCGGAAAAAGGTTTATTTTCCGCAAGATCCCGTCTAGACTTGCGCTTTTCTCCGGCAAAACCCTGAGCCGGAAAAAAGCGGCAGCCATGTTCATACAAATGCCAAGGGGGATATTTAAATCCCCCGCGGCATTTGCAATTCCAACTGGTCTCATTAGCATCCCTTTTCCGGAAAGTGGTGCCAATGTAGACACAGCCAGTCAGAACAAAGGTCCATCTAGGCCAGTATCCTGTCTTCTGTCTCCTGTCAGAAGGAATTAACAGAACAGGTAATCCCTATCTCCCATCCCCAGCTTCTGGCAGGTCAGAACTTCTGGCAACTATCCCACTTCTGTCCTTTACACATCTCTGCATTGAACAATGGGCCTATCTTTTCCTTGGTCTTCCTCTTGCTTCTAAGGTATTTATAGAATGTTTTCTTGGTACCCTTTGTTTCTAACAAGTTTAATCTTGTTTTGTGCTTTGACCTTTCTAATTATTTCCCCACATATTTGTGTTACTCGTTTATATTCATCCTTTCTAATTTACCCTAGTTTGCACTTGTTGGACTAATTTTTGAGTTTAGGATCATGGAAGTTCTTCAGCTTAAGCCAGGGTAGGGTTTTTTGGGGGGCATACTTCCTATTTTTTCTATGAATTTGCATAGTTTGCTTTTGTGCCCTTAGTAATGTCTCTCTGAAATTTGTCAAGTCTCTCAAACTGTTTTTCCCCTTAGACTTGCTTGAGCTTGCTAAAGTCTGCCTTCTTGAAATCCATTTTCTTTATTGTGCTGTTTTCCCTCCTATCGTTCCTTAGAATAATGAATAATACCTTCCATTTTCAAATTCTCTATCAGCTCTTCCTTATTTGTCAAAATCAAATCCAGAACTGCCTTTCCACCTGTGGCTTTCTCTGCCCTTTAAAATAACAATAAAACAATATCCAATACATTCCAAGAATTTGTTTAATAATCTATTCCCTGCTGTTTTTCCCCCCAAAAGATATCTGGGTAGCTGAAGTGCCCCAGTACCACAAATCCTGTGCTTTGGATAATTTTGTTAATTCTTTATAAAATGCCTCATCTACCTCCTCTTCCTGGTTAAGTGGTCTGTAGTAAACCCTTACCATGACATCACTCTTGTTTTTTTAACTCTTTTATCTTTACCCAGAGACTTTCAACAAGTCTACCTCCTATTTCAATCTCAACCTCAGTCCAGGTGTATACATTTTTAATATAAAAGGCAACTCCTTATGCAGAGATTCAGTCTTTTCTGCAAATAACTTTGAGCCATTGCAAGGAAGATCCTTAATTGGCAAGGAAGTTTTCAAGTAGAGAACACAGGTGGGCTATAGAGGTTGGTCAAAATGATAGAAAGCAGAACTACCCAAAGAACTGAGCAGGAGTAAGTAGACCATTCCATAGTAGTAGTCCTCTCAAGTAAGATCTAAATCTCCTTTAAGATAATTAGAAAATTAACCCACTAAAATAGATTAATTTTGAATTCTTCATTATTGTTGGATAGGTAAACATATGTTATAGTGATGAATATAGGAAAAGCATTTTTAATTAGCCTGTAATGGTAGAGGGACTTTTATACCATGCAGTGATGGTAATTAAACAGTGAAAACTTTAGAAAAAATACCAGTATAGACTTGTTAAGAAAAATACTTCCATTATGATGTGTGATAATTTATCACTGTATCTTCAAGAGTAGATGCTTTCTATGCCATTTGAAATTTTAGATAATTAATACCATTATGGTAAATCAGTACAATAAAGCATAACTTGAAGCAATATTGTCTCATCATGATAGTTGCTAATTACATAAAATGTTATTTGGACATTAACAATTTTTGTTTGTTTGTTTATGTAGATTTTGTGAACCATTTAGTCTCCGTTCTAGTAGCCGGTGCTACTATTGTTGGAATTGCCTTCTTTGCTTTGGGATTAACAGTGTTTTACCTGTTTTATAAAAGAAGGTAGGGTTAAAATTACACTAATCTTTTTTTCTTTAAAGGATTGCAACAAATTAAACATTATTTTTTGTAAAAGTATGACTGATAAAAGATAGGCTAATAGCAAGTAAAATCATTACATGTTTAAAAGAGCAGTATCTTATTGAGGATTTTCTTTGCTCACTTTTTAATTGAGATATTTATATAAAAATCCCGCTCTTTCTTAGGAGTTCAGTTTATTCCCTTCTGTTTATTCTTCAACTAAGGCTATGTCTACACTGCTGGGGTGAGTTTCGGAAAAAGGTACGTAAATTGCAAACTGCAATTTATGTACCTTTTTCCAATTCTTTTTTCGGAAGAGGCTTTTTTGACATTTGGCCCTTCTACATGGGGCCAAATGTCGGAAAAACCTCCTCTATTGGAAGAGCCCTTATTCCTCATAAAATGAGGAATACAGGGCTTCTGAAAGAGCGCGTCTGCTCTTCTGAAAAAAATTTTGGAAAGGCAGACGTGTTCCCTGGATGCAGCAGAGTCTTTCTGGGATATCTCCGGTAGTGTAGACATAGGGTACGTCTAGACTATATGGCTCCATCGACAGAGCCATCTAAAATAGTTTACTCGGTATAGTCAAATAATCGTCAGCACAGCGTGAGGGCCATTTTTATTTTAATGAAGCAGGGATTATTTAAATCCCCGCTTCTTTGACTACGCAAAGTAAACTATTTTACATGGCTCCGTCGACGGAGCCATGTAGTCTAGACATACCCATAATGTAAGTGAGTACTTTCTAAAGTCTACATAAGATGTGACAGTTTGTGAGAAATTAAATAGATATTCTTCTGTACCATCTTACATTCAGCATATTCAGTTTATTTTATTTTTCTCTTTTGGAAAAACCCCAGTCTTCTTAATCTGTCCTCATACAAAAGCTGTTCCATACCACTAAATCATTGTTGTTGCCTTTCCTGTACCTTTTCTCATTCTCGTGTTTATTTTTTTGAGATGCGCTGACCACATCTGCATGCAGTATGCAAGATGTGGGTGTTCCATGGATTTATATGGAGGCAATATGATATTTTCTGTTTTATTATCTCTCTTTCCTAATGATTTCCAATATTCTGTTTGTTTTTTTTTTTTTTTTAAACTGCTGCTGCACATTGAGTAGATGTTTTCAGAGAACTATATACAGTGACTGCAAGATCCCTTTCTTGAGTGGTAACAGCTAATTTTAGACCTCATCATTTTATATTTATAGTTGGGATTATGTTTTCCAATATGCATTACTTTGCATTTATGAACATTGAATTTCATCTGCCATTTTGTTGTCCTGTCACTCAGTTTTGTGAAATCCTTTTGTAACTCTTCATATTCTGCTTTGGACTTAATTATCTTGAGTAGTTTTGTACGATCTGCAAATTTTTTCACCTCACTGTTTAAAGCAGGGTTGGTGACAGATGTCGCCGGGCCCTGGGCAGTGGAGGGAGGAGCTAGGTTCTGAGCTGTCTGGAAGGGGCAGGGACTTGGATGAAAAGGGTGGGGCTAGAAGCAGCCTGCCTTTAGCACTACCTGGACCATACTGTGCAGGGTTCTGGTGGACATATAAAGAGCACAAGGCTCCAGCAGCTGCTGCTGCTGCAGTGGCAGCCCATTACCCCAGGGCCTTTTAAATTGCTGGGCCCTGGGACAACTGCCCCCTTTGCTCCCTCTGTCAGTGGTCCTGGTTTGAAGTTCTGCATAAAATATTATTGGTTACACGACTATTCGATAGTCCCTGGGGGGTGGGACCAGCAGCCTGTGTTCTCTGGCCTACTCCCGTGGAGCACTCTGCCATCCCACACTGTTGCCTCTCCATCAGAGTCAGCAGTGCAGGGTGGCTGGTGGGAGATGGTCAGAGGGAAAATATTTTAAAACCCAACTCCCCTTGTGGACTGGCTTCCTGCAGCCCTGCCCTGCTGCCTCTGTCTGTAGGGGGTTCAAGGGATGCAGGGCAGCTTCTGTCTGCGGAGAGCTTGGACCCCCCATGTACAGAGGCTGCTGCTGCAAAGTGCTGCGGCAGGTGCAGGCTTCCCATGGACAGAAGCTGCTCTGTGGGATGCGGAGCAGCCTCTGTCCGTGGGGAGCTTGGACCCCTCATGGACAGGGGCTGCTTCATAGCAGTCTCACCCGCCCCTGCCCCACACTGCTGCCTCGAATAGAGGTGGCAGCGGGGGAAGAGGGCAGGTGGCACTGTGGAGCCAATTTTAAGCTGGCTCTCTCCAGCACTGGCTCCTGCCTGCTGCCCTTTGCTGCCTCTGTAGGAAGCAGCAAGGGCGGGCAGAACTGTTTGCGGGAGTCAATATGTGTGGGGGGCTGGCTTGAGTTGGCTTGAATACGCGTGGGGAGCTGGCATGTATTGGCTCCCGCCTTCCCCCCTCACCCACTGCACTGCTGCCTCTCTATCAGAGGCAGCAGTGCGGGGCGAGGGAGGTGGACTGGTGCTCTTGGGTATCTTGCTTAAAGCCAGTTTTTCACAGGCACCAGCTCCTGCTTCTCCCCCTTTGCTGCCTCTGATACAGAGGCAGCAAGGTGGGGGAGTGCATGTAGGTGATAAGATTAATCAAAGGAACAGGTGCAGCAGAGACCGAAGCAGTCCCCGCTCACATTGGGTCCCAGCTGCTGTGCCTTTCCTGTGGGGAGCTCTTGTACATTTTAGAGGGAAAGGTGCAGCAGTCAGGACTCGGCGCAAGGGGGGGGACTGCTTTGGTACCACTCATGCAGTTTCTTCTGCTATGCTTCTGTTTCCTCTGTCCCCTGTGAAGATGCTGTTGGGGGGGAAGGGGAACTGGATTTTAAGCTGGCTCCCCCCAGCACTGGTTTCTTCTACCCCTCTTTGGTGCCTCTGATACAGGCAGCAAGCTGGGGGAAGCGACTAGTCAAGTATAGGGATCTGAAGGACTAGTCGACAAGCTTGTTGACTAGTTGCTCCCCCTGCATTGCTGCCTCTATCAGAAAGAGGCAGTGGGGGGGGGGAAGGAGAAAGTACTTCAAAGAAGTATGCTGCTGCGGGAGCCCGGAGTCAGGTTTCCCGTAGCGTTTCAGTCCCCAGTTGATCCCAGGTTCAGTGCAACGCTGCAGGTTTGAAACGCTGCAGGGAGCCTGACTCCAGGCTCCCGTGGTGATGTTTCAAATTGGCAGCGCTGGATGGAGCCCAGAGTCAGCAGGGAGTCCCCTAGGGCTGTTTCTAGATTTCAGAGGCAGAGATGCCCTATCAGCTAGTTGAATGCAAAATGCATCAACTATAGTCAAAATGTATCAACTATAGTCGATGCAAAATGCATCCACTATTTGATTTATCATTTTCCTGCAATTTAACATCCCTAGTCCAGTAGTGACTCAACTACCCAATAAGTTTAGTTTATTGGGTAGTTGACTAGTCAACTAATCGCTTACATTCCTACACTGAATCACACTTATTCACATACTTGACCATCTTAAAGAATTCTGGTAGATTGTTGAGGTATGCTTTCTCTTTACAAAAACTATATTGACTCTTTAACAACAAATCATGTTCATCTATGTGTCTGATCATTATTTACTTTACTATATTTTCAACTAGTTTGCCCAATATTGAAGTTAGGTTTACTGGCCTGTAATTGCCAAGATTGCCTCTGAAGCCCTTTAAAAAATTGGTGTCACATTAGCTATTCTTTTGTCATCTGATACAGAAGCTCATTTAAATGATAGGTTACATACCACAGTTAGTAACGCTGCAATTTTATATTTGATTTCCTTTACAACTCTTGAGTGAATACCATCTGGTTCTGGTGACTTATTTCTATTTAGTTTATCAGTTTGTTCCAAAAAACCTGTAATGACACCTCAATCTGGGACAATTCCTCAGGTTTGCCACCTAAAAAGAATGGCCAAGATTTGGCATTGCAATTTGCATTTGAAATTTAGCTAACAGTTCCATTAAACTGTAAACTTTTCAGGTCAGGGACCATATGTCATATGTTTGTACATTGCCTAGCACAATGGGATACCACCGTGTACTGCCGTAATACAAACAATTTTAATGCATCAACCAAAATATAATTGTGCTCACTCCTCTATATGTATATTGGCTCTGAAGCACTAACAAAAAAATAAATTGTCTTTAGTTAGCAAAGTAAGCAGATATGATTCTGAATGTATAAGTATTTCTTAAGAAAGAAAATACAGTTTTTACATAATCAGTGCGCTGACCATAAGTAATTTTTTTAAGTCAAAGACATTAAGGCAAGGAGATTTAACAATCAAATGTGAGATTTATTATATGTTGTGCTTATCAAATCTAATACTCAGCTAGATGGCATTTTTCTGTTTCTGTCTGGCTGTTTGTAATGTAATAATTTTTCATTGCCACAGTGCTCAATTTGAAAATCTCAGGGAATGTTCTAGGCATCAATGATTAGAATCCTATTGGCTTTGGGGAAAACTGGAAGAAAATGGAGAAGGGTATAGAGGCAGCCACGGCACCTAGTTAGTAGAGCCAGTAGCTTCAGTCACCTCTGTAATTGTTTAAAAATTAAATAACCAGTTGACAGTCATTAACACATTTCATTTTAATGATATCCTCAAACTTAGTTCTGTCCGTCCATTCAGTACAGTTTAAAATCACAGTCATGGAAATGTAGGGCTGAGAGGATCTCAAGAAGTCAATTAATCCATATTTGTCTAGCCTGTTTTATAAACGTCCAATGAGGGGGATCCACAACCTCCCTTGGAAGTTTATTCCATTGCTTAACTACCCATACAGTTAGAAATTTTTCCCTAATATCTAAACTAAATCTCCTTTGCTACAGATTAAGCTAATTATTTCTTATCCTACCTTCAGTGGCATGGAGAACAGCTGATCACCATCCACTTTGTAATAGCCCTTACCATATCTGAAGGCTGTTACCAGGCCTCCTCTTAGTCATCTTTTCTCAAGCACTAAATATGTCCAGATTTTTAAGCTTTTCTTATCGGTCAGGTTATCTAAACTTTTTATTATTTTTGTTGCT